ACCGCCACAAGTATCCACTGTGCTTTCTTTTTCATGACTACAGATTCAAGTGACCAAACTTTATATGTATAACACTCTTGAGTTAACTATTTTTTGCAAGTTAGGGCGATTTTATGGGAATTCAGCGATGCCTATACGTGAGTGCAGAGTTGTTATGGAAGAAGTCTTGGTCATTTTTAATGATGAATATGGTTCAGTTCCTTTCAGTGACAAGGTAAATCGGGTTAAAATTGATTTGAATAGTGATCAGACAATGCCCTCCAATCCAATCTGTTTCCAGGCCGGCAATATACCTACGCAATGGCAAGATTTCGTTGGCGGAGAATTTTCCAAAAGTCTCTATTGGAGTAACTTTTTCTACGCTTTAAGTCTAGTCTAGTGCATGACTAAAAACAAGTCTAGTCTAGTGTAGTCAACTATTATCTTTTATATGACTAAGTCAATCTCTGCCCAATGTACAGCACAGGCCTTAATGATTTACTTGGTTTCCCAAATGGAACCTAAGATCAAATAAACAATTAGAATTTTAAATAAATGATGGTGACATGAAAATTAGTAAATGTTGAAGGATCATTCACAATTAAAGACATTTCCATAAAATCTGTAAAGCACATCATAATACATGACTTGGTTCTCTATTTAAGAAACTAATATAAGATGTACATATGATGGCGGGTTCATTGAAGTGCTCATCTTATTGTTCAGCTCGAAGAAATTAGTGTGCTTATATTTTCAAGATACCGAAAATTACTAATGTGCTCACACAAAAGAAAAGGCATAAAAAATTGCCTTTTGATTTCTCAAAATGCACTTAATTTACTTAATGAGTATCCAGTTAACATTATTCAAATTCCTTCTAATGCAAGGGTGACAGTGGATTATCCCTACAAGTCGGTATGAATGAGTAAAAGTTCACCGGAGTACATGCGAAAATTAGACGGTTCTAAAAATATTACTTCTGTGAATTTACTTCTCAATGGAGCATTAAGCAGAAAATGATCTTGACTAGAGGCATTTCAGAAGTAGAGATGTCCAGGAAACAATTTCGTGGAGATAAATTCAGGCTCAAAGAACTCAATTTCATAAACCACACCTGAATCTTCCACTTAATAGTCTTGAGATTTTGGTCCGGAAGAAAACAGCTTAGGATGCAATCTGATTCCGAAGAAAAATTGTTGATTACCTGCACTGAAACTTTATATGACCAATGAATAGTACCGTCGAAGTCTCCAATGAAGGGGCCACATATTCCAGGATAACCACACTTTTGAAAGCTAAATTTGCGAAAACCTCAGTCAATGGCATGCAGTGAAGAGACATTTCCTTTTAGGTCTCTCAACTCAGATGACAAACTCCCTTTAAAGACTTGCAGAAATGTATAGGGGCTCCATTTAATCTCACTTGATGAAAGTTCCAATGGCCTGGAAGGTAAAGCTTTTACGGTCTTAAATGTCTCTAAGCAAATACAATTAGTTGGAGATAAACTGACTCTCGTATCGTACTGGTTACTAGGCGAGTTAAAAGAACTATAAGCCATTAATCCACTATATGCACAAGGTGATAAACTAACAGAATTTTTCCTTTTTATAAAATCAACTGGAACTTACGATTATAAGATCCATTTCTGAAGTAAGTCGTTAATACCATATTGTCAGGCTGGAGGACTTTCCAGTCTGAAATGGTTTGCAAATGGACTCAGTTGTATATGGAGATGGAAATGGTTATTCGAAATGGGAATGTGCTCGATGGAAAAAAAGACTGGCTGGAGGAGGTGGGTCGATGCCTCATAGATATAATGTTCTCATCATTAGAAACCTGATTAATTGATTCATCATGGTGACGAGCTTTGTTGTGTTACTTCGTGAGATGAGTACATTGAATTGGTAGGTTCTCCCAGAGGCCTATATTGATTAACGACAATAGGCAAATAACAGTAAAAACCCCAGATCCTCCATCACATACCAAGGCAGTGTTATAGTCTCTAAATATCTCCTAAATTTGTGATGGTATTAAAATTGTCCTGTACAAAATAGTAGAATGTAATGAAACACTTGTAACAGTTAGTAATTGGCAAACAGAGATCACAAGTAAAACTGTGATATCTGATGCACCGGAACCCAAACAGAACTTCCCCATGTCCCTATGACCGTTGTTTTCGTGCTCAATTTGGTAGTCAAACCGTTACCGTTCCACATTTTTGAGCAGTTATTACTCATGGGCAACCATCGTTGAGGATGTTTTCCATAGTAACTGCTTTCATCAAATGTCCAAAATGATCACTTGGTATGACTCTGGACAGACGATTGTTGGATATATTGAGGACTGCCAGGAAGTTCAATTGAGTAAGCATTTCAGGTTTTAGACCAATCAACTGAATAATGCTCTATCTTTGTTAGGCTTGATTGATTCAGTTCAAGCCTGTCCCGTAATATTCCGACCTCTGGTGGGATCTTGCCACTGAACTTGTTGCAAGAAAAATCCGATTTTCCATTTTAGGAAGTGCATCACTCTATAGGAAATCAAACCTTTCTGTTGGGACTCAGACTTTGTGTGGAACTTTGAACCCGTCTTCGCCTACTGTTGTATCTTATAACAAGGAGAACACAAATCTTCAACTTCAATACCAAATATCAACGTCGAGTATACCTTATCAGTGAATTCTCTGAAGAAATTCATTGAACCCTTGCAACTAGGTAACAACCAAAAAGGTTGTTTTCAAAAGATCAATCACATTTTAGAAGATTCAAGCGGTAAGATTCAAGTGATGGGCTGTCCCGAAGTCAATCTGCAGCTGTGGTGCACAGCGTGATTTAACAGGGACAATTCAACGGTCAGACTCAACAGATTCAAAGACGAACGTTCTATGGCAGGGTATTGATACATTTCTTAGGAAAACCACACCCCAAAAGCTTGAAAGAGCTGAAGACCATGTAAACCCCACACCAGAGTCTCTCACACCATGATCCTAGTCCCCGTACCGTGCAATTAGGATCATAATAGGTATGGACTCCCTATGGTAATGTCCAGGAGAGGTAGTTAGGCTGATGGTCCCCCCTTACCGTTGTTCTTCTGGCCAAAAATAATAACTTGATTCTAATTCGCTGGTAGACAAACCAAGGTCTTCCAGATTTGGAAAGATTGAGCTAAAATTTGTTGGAGAAGCTTTCGTCTTTGTCTATTTTAGGGGATATCCATCGCGGGTAGACCACTGATTAAGCACTGATGTCAATGGGGTTTAAAGAGTGCATGAACCTAGTTATGGCTCTTGTAAAGTGGAGAAGTCAGGGGGTCAGGCCTGTCAGCAACTTTTTGACTGACCACTGAAGGAAAACAATCTTATTCTGGAGGGAAACTTTATATGCTATAGAGCCATCATTTATGACAAGCCGTGTTCTATAACTTTTTACATGTTTTGAACTCCAATAAGGAACGATCAATTCTAGAGTGGATAAATTCCCGATATAAATTTAAAAGTTACCTTGTCATAGTCGGTGGAACCGAATTGATTCCTTCTTGGCGATTTTAAGATCAATCTAGAAATTGGGCTTTACTTTAAAAAATACTACTATTATTTCAAGAAAGCACACAATTTGAACACCAATAGTATAGCGGTTAAGGTATCGATGTATTACTTAACTTTTCCAAGTTTGAAACTCATCTCTATAATATCTATCGGTTCAAAATCGATTCTACTTTAAAACGAGAACCGAATTGACATCAACTTAACCAAGTTCAAAACTCATCTCGTTCAAAACCAATTCTACTTTATAATCGAGAACCAAATTCACATAACAATCTCTAAGCAGCATACGTTTCCAATCCACTGATTGAATGATGAATGGCTATGGGCGCGCATGGAATCCATTCTGGAGCAGAAATTCTGTTTCAAAATGCATTCCGGAACAGAAATGCGTTTGTTAAAAAATTTCTGGAATGCATTCTGAAGCAATTTTTGTATTCTGGAATAAAAATGCGTTTGTTAAAAACACTTGATTCCAGAATGAGTTTTTGGTAAGAAAAAGAGAAGCTACTTTTTGTAGCTTCTCTCTTCTAGAATGCATTCTCTCTCTTTTCACTCTTTTTCGTGGCCTTTACAATACATTTTGAGATCTCACTAATTTTTTTTCAGAAAATGCGTAAAAATTGAAAAATTCCAGAAAAATTCATAAAAATTTCCAGAAAATAAAAAAAAAGTCAGATTTCGGGAAAATAGAAAATTTGGTGAATTTTTTTTCAAAAAATATAAAAAAAATCAAAAATTTCGAAATTTCACATAATGGCTTAGAAGCCACCCTTGAGTGAAATTTAAATTTTTTTAGGTATCCAAAAAAATCAAAAAATCAAAAATTTCAAAACTTCACAGAATAACGTAGAATACTTGTGGCCACCCACTTTGAATGAAATTTAAATTTTTTGAGGTATAAAAAAAAATCAAAAATTTCAAAACTTCACAGAATGGCTTAAGAATACATGTGGCCACCCATTTTTAGTGAAATTTAATTTTTTTTGAGGTAACCAAAAAAATCAAAAATTTCAAAACTTCACAAAATGGCTTAGAATACCTTTGGCCACCCACTTTGAGTGAAATTTAAATTTTTTGAAGTGCCAAAAAAAAATCAAAAAATAAAAAATTTTAAAACTTCATAGAATAGCTTAGAATACCTGTGGCCAGCCACTTTGAGTGAAATTTAAATTTTTTTAGATGCAAACAAAAGCAACAAATCAAAAGAGATCTCTGTTCCAGAAATTAATTTTTGGAGCAGAATTAGTCATGTTTTATCAAACAGATTTCTCCTCCAGAAATCAATTTCTGGCAAGAATTCCATAAATTAATTTCTTGCAAGAATTTAATTTCTGGAGCAGAATGGTTACTATTCGCGCCCTATATTTATATATACTTCAACGTTCGGAGACAGCACCGAAGCCAATTAAAATTAAAAGTAAATGTTATTCCATCTAATATGCCAAAAGCAGACAACTTTAACTTAAGCCGAAGTGCAATTCCCATGTAAACAATCCAACAACATCGTCTCGCACCCGGAAAGAAAGAGGAAGACCCCCTGCTTTCCGAAGTCTTGCTCATCAAGCAAAGGCGTCGCCTTTCCTTCAATCCTCGCTCCCACACTATAAAAGTCTCGATCTTTCAATTTCCTCAGTCAATTCTCTTCTCTTCCCCACACACCCTTCAACCGCAGACCCATAAATTCTTCGCCCTTGTCTCTCGCTCCTCCCCCCCTCCTCCCGACCGTCGATGGCGAAGCTGAAGGTGGCCGGCACGTGGTCCGGCGCGATAGAGGTCGAGCTGGACGACTGGACGGTCCCGATGCTGCGGGCGGAGGTGGCGAGGCGATCCGGCCTGAGCCCGAGCTCGATCAACCTGATCTGCGGCGGCAAGGTGCTGAAGGACGACGCCGGCGGCGGCGGGGCGGCGGCGGCGAAGCTGAGCGAGCTCGGCGTAAGGGGCAACGCCAAGATACTCTCGACCCGGGTCTGCGTTGACCAGGGGAAGTCGCTGCAGGAGGAGGCCATGGCCGAGGACGAGCGTTCTCGCAGGCTCGCTCGGGTCAAGTGAGTGTTTTGTTCGTGTGTACGTTTTTCGTGCGGCTATTTCAAGCTATGCGGGTACTTTTATGCGGGTACTTGTTCCACTGTGTGATTGTTTATTTTTCCCTTCAATTTGACTGTACTAATTGATTGGTGGAACAAAGCTGTAGACTTTCCTTGCTTATTGGACTCGTTGCATCTTCTTTATGGTGAATTTGTCAGGAACTTGTCTCTTTGTTTTCTGTTTCTGGTTTTCTATCATGTACATTGTGAGCAACATCTTTGTTTTTGCCGGAATTTTCTGAAAAGTTGGGGTAATTGTAATTGGATCATGCACTTTGTTGGACTGGCCTCGTAAAATATTACGTGTTGAGTGGCAGCTCGCCTCCTGAAAGCAGGCTTCTGCTGCTTCCCTTCTCTTTGTTAATTGGTTGATGGTTTTGATGAATCGTGCTTGTGAGTGATTAAAGTGGGTTCATATTGATGAGGCTAAGAATTGTCATTATTCGGTGTATCAATTACAACTCCCTTCCTCTTTTACTGATTCTTTTACTGATGGCAGCGAGCTTTGTATTCTCGTTATAGGTGAAGGAATTCGAAATGCCTCAGCTTTTCTAGAACAGGTCTGAGTCAAATAGTAATGAAATTTGTGATCTTAGGATGAGCATGTCCAGTTCAAGAGATGTCTTCATTGGTTAATAATGCTTGGTGTGAAGCTTTTGGGGTTTCTGTGATGCAGAAGTTTTTATGTAGCTTTGATGCATCGGAAGATGCTTTCTCCTCATCCTAAGTTCACTTTAACTCTTAGCAGCCACCACCAAATCAATCCTTTATAAAATGCATTTCGCATGCATATCTGGTTTTGTTTCCCCCCCTTCTTAGCAACTTTCACCTGTAGACTCGTGGGACTAATCTACATTCTTAGTGTGGCGTATGTTACTTAACTCATGAGGCAGCGCATCTTGATACTTATAGAGGCATTCGGCTCTGAGCTGGGCACCTTGTTATCATTCAAAAGACTTCCCTGAGTGACATGTTTATAGATATGTCATAAATATTTCTATGATTGGCCAGAAGCACTGATGAGTCTTGCCATCTGGATTTATATACCTACAGATGTTCATCTACTTAGATACGCTTATCTGGTTTTGCGGTACACTTTCCTGCATTATTTTATGATGATATTAGCAAGCATGTTCGTTGTTTTTGAAGACAGTAGTCTTCTTGGCTACTGTGTGTGTATGTACACATCCACTCATATAATTATATGTATATGTCCGTCTAAATACAGAGCAGCTGCCACTGCACTGGCTAAGAGACATGCAGATGGGTCATTGCCACTTGAAGACTTCAACATAGAACTGGAAGATCAGAGTGGAAAGAAAGTAAATATGGGATCTGAAACTGATCAGAGGTTAGGCATTAGAAAAAAATCTTTTCTCACAAAATGCTGTTTAGCTGCTATTTTATTTTATTTTATTTTACTTTTGTTTTTGATAAAACCTTTTGGATTTTCTCTAGAGCCGTGATGATGGGCTTGATGCTTCACTCAAATGCAAAGCAACTTATAAGGAGGCAAAAGTATGAAGATGCATTGGAAGTTCTTGCTATGGGTGAGGTCAGTTTTACTGGTGCTCTGTGGTTACTTTTGGTAATCTAAGCATTTTTAGCCTTATCCAGTAGCAAGCTTCAATGCTTTTTGTTCTGTAACATGCATAATGCGGGAATTGAGATGTGAAGAATTATGAGGGATGTCATTTGGTAGTAGAGTTTACCAACTGTTCAGATCAACAATTGGCTACATATACTTAAAAAAGAGTTGTGCCACCTAGTCCTTTCCCATCAGAGTGACATAACTTGCTACTGAATTGATGTGATTCCCTGTTGCAATTGACCAAGGTTTCAGAAACAAGGGCAACTCTGAAACAAGGAATGTCAAGCATAACTAAAATTGTCCCTTGTCTAAAATGTAATATTGTGAAAGTAGGCTTGTTTTGATCATTGTGTCGTAATAATACTCTTTATTAGTTGTATGTGCACCAGATGGTCTACTATGCTAGATATATAGGCGAAGGACTAATTCTTGCTTGATATATGCTTTGGGACAAGGTAATACTATACATAATATACTTTTCACAAGAAAATCTGATGAATATCTCCATGCCATAACATTTTGAACTTTAATTTACAATTTCAAGTGGTAAATTTGCCATAACAAGGATTTGTGATACAAATTGTGGATTGGAATGATCAGTGTATTCTGCCAGCTATATGCTTACATAATATAGGAACCACACAACCTATTTATACATTAGCCAGTGCTTTAGTCTGACTGTAAAAGATTTTTCTTAGATTCATAACACATTATACTCTCACAAAAGATATAGAATGTATCCATTGTAATAAATGACCCAAATCCAGGCCCAGAAGCATATATAAATATGATTTAGCACATAACTAAGCCTACAGAGGAAGCACCATTATTATTTTTCAGTACAAATAAATTATATATCAGAATGACTAAGCATAACTACCATGTGCTGCATGCTGGACCAATTGGTAATATATTGCCTGGACATTCTCCTTTGCATGTCTTGACTACATTTGGATCTCAACCATCACTTTTTATTAATATAGATTGTCACGAGCAATGTTCTTATAACAGAATGACTGTCCTCAAAACTGCTTGTCAAAGCTGCATGTTTTGTATGTTCCTAGAAACCACCATAAAGCATTGCAATAATTTCTTACTACAAAAAAGGAGTCTGGCTTCTTTTTGCTCTTACTTGTGAGTATAGGCTCATGATTATCTGATAGTTGTTTCTCTTACTTTGATTGACATACCACCTGTTATTTTTTCTACCAATTTGTAAAAATTGATTACTTTAACCATTCTTTCTTCCCAATGCAGGAATCCTTCTCTCTCTGCAATCCCCAGTTCATTGAGGTCAGTTATACTTTCCCAAGTTAAGAAGTCTGCATTTGTTCAGCTGGGAATTTATGTAGTATTGGCTGTGCTCATTCTTCTATTTTATTATTGTTCTTTGGCACTCTAAAATCTTAAGGATGATAGCCACTCATGTGGAAAATGCTTTTCCTAATATTTCGCTCTTTGTTTGCATTGTAACTATTTCTAAGCCTGTCTTTTCTCATTGTGATTCACGGCACATTCATTTCACATATAATCGACTGAATGCACCAAATTTGCGAGTTAGTATGGGAATTAGGAACTATTCTAATTTCACTTGAACTCAGTTGATGTGGCTGGCTGCTCGGATTTCATGAATTCCACTTTTGCTCTTATTTTGGGAAGGGGGTGTGGTGGTGCTTTGATGTGGACACAGAGAGATTATGAACGTGTGGCTTATTCTGCGTCATGTTCTTTGGTTTCAGATGGTTGACAATGTTCCTATACTGCAAATAGACATGGTATGGTGCTATTTCATGCTTCGAGACATCTCATCACTCTCGGTGGCTGGAATTCGACTACAAAAGGCCAGAGAAGGGATTGAGCGTGCTCATGGAAAGGATTACTCTCGTGTTAGACTCCTTCAAGGAGGTCGCTATCCAGAGATTGCTTTGTGAGCATCAGTTTTGCAATTTTTCATCCTGGCATTCTTGCAATGTGTGTAGAGAACTTTTTTATCCTGAAGTATTGGCTTCGGACTAATGAATTGGAATAATTAACTTCCAGGCATTTGCGGTTAGAGCTGTTGGAAGGAGTGGTAGCTTATCACAGTGGTCATCTCGATAAGTCACAAAAAGCATTGACATCTGCACAAGAAAAGTTCTTCAAGGTTAGTAAAGAAGTCTTATTGAATTATCATTCCGTCATTCAGGTGCGCAGCTCCATTTATGCTTGTTCCGTAGTAGTTCAGGTAAAATATAGTTTTTTGGATTATTTTGCTTGTGTTTGTTCTGTTATTCTTTGAGGTAATGATAGGTATTTATCATTCAAGAGTTTCAGCATAGTTAGAGTACTATTTCCTTTGCATTTGTCACATTATATTTAAGCTTTTTCCTTGAGTCTCTCTTGGTCATTTCTGCAAGCAAGACTTGTTATTATGATCAACCAGCAGATCTCCTCATTTGCATGGCATGATTAAGGAGCTAGGACTGTAATTTTGTTGCAGCACTGAAAAAACATTTGTAATTCCAGGACTCACGGCAAGTAAATTTCTGGATCTTTGTTTAAATGAGAAATTGACTCTAAAGTTGATGGTAGGATAGGTCTAACTTTTCTACTTTAGAACTTTTCAGCTGACTGTCCATGTCTTTTTAATTCTTCTCTTATTTCCTCGTAGTTACCTCGACTGTTTCCCTTTTCCAAGCTGACAATTTGATTTTGGCTATTTCAGCTGCAGGTGCCAGATGAATCTTTATCACTAGTAATGAGCATGGGCTTCAAAGAGCGTGATGCCAGGAGGGCAATACGCATGACCAACCAAGATGTTGGGAGTGCTGTTGATTTTCTAATCGAGGAAAAGGCTAAGAGGTTACAGAAACGTGAGGAGGATATGAAGCGAAGACAGGAAATCGAGTGTGTTTCGTATTGCCCCTTATATCTTGTCTACTTATGCATGCAAATTTCTATGGGTAGCATGAAAAATCTAATAAATTTGCAGGGAGCAAAAGTCTTATGGAGTGACACCCACGAAGAAACCTGTGGACCTCCAAAGATTAAATGAACTGGTCTCCATTGGGTAAGAAACTGTTGCATAATCAAAGTACTTTCCTGGAATTATTTTGTGGTTTTTCTTTAAAATATGTGTTGGTGGTTTGCAATCTACGGTTTGTTTGTGACAGATCGTTTATGGACAGTTGCTGATGATTTCGATGTCACTTCATTTTTTATTGTCAATATTGAAATATCAAACACCTCTATTTAATAGCTTAAGCTTCTAAAATAGTTACTACTCCTACAAAAATTTCACATGGTATTAGAGTCGAAGGTTTTGAGTTCAAATGTTTTAAGACAACTTTATTTGTCTGCCCAATTATATATTTCCGTGCCTTAGTCCTAGGCCAAAATCTAGTCTACGCTTGAGGGGGGATATTAGAATATTTAAATATTAAACGCCTTTATTTAATAACTTAAACTTTTGGAACAGCTGGCACTAATTCCACAAAAATTTCACGAATACATTGCACTGCTCTTTAGATGTTTATGAAGTTTGGTAGTAGACCCACACACAACACCCCCCACCCCCCCAAGCACCCCTCCCCCCCTTTGAACCCAAGTGAAATGTTGTGGCAGTTTTGAGAAGGCACTTGCTGCTGAAGCCCTTCGAAGAAATGAGAATGACACTCAGAAAGCACTGGATGATTTGACCAACCCTGAAACTAATGCTGCCATTCAGGTTCATTACATGTTTCCTACTATATTCTTGGTCTTGGTTCAGTAGAGTTTCATCAATAACGTATTACAATTCTTTTATATCGTGTAGAATGACATAGAATCGAGAAAAAGAAAAAGACAGCTGAAATCAGATGAAGCGGCAATTGAGCAGCTTGTAGCAATGGGCTTTGAAAGATCGAGAGGTACATGGTCGTTGATTGTGCTTTTGTTGCATTTGGTTCTTTCATGTTTCCACAATCTGAATATATTCCTTCTAGCGACTGAATCTAATCATCTTCTGCTAATATAAAGTGGGATTATAGTGTTGCAGCATACTGCTTGTTGCTTAATCGTAAGCTTCACATACAGAGAGAATTCTACTTCATCTCACCCCACTTAGTTGGCAATATGTCATGCTACTCAATCGTAGCCTCAGTTCTGTGACACCAAGACCTGTGGCATTTCTTAGTTTTTCAAATGATTACCCTCAAAAGAGTTTTCACATTACATTTACGTTGTTTTCTCTGTACATTCAAGTGAATCTCGCCGTTAATTAAGAGCTCTTAGCAGATTCCGTCTTTTGTTTTTCTTTTGGATTTCTGCAGTGATCGAAGCGGTTAGTGGCGGTCGCACTGTGGAGCAAGCAATGCAACAACTACTTGTGCAGCCTCAGAGTCTTCCAAACCAACCTGAGAATGCCAGTCCCGCAACTTCTACTCCTGCAACTACTTCTGCCTCATCTATCAACAATGAGGATTCGGGTAGTACGAACAATATCGATGAAGTGGGAGATACATCTGCACATGCTGGAATGGATGACCGGGATGTAGAGATGGAGGAAGAACTTGCAGATGAGTTGGCTCAAGCCGATGCTTTTTCCGACTATGATATTGAAGTCACGAAAGAAGGAGAAGCGATAGAGGAGTACCTTTCTCTGCTCGCTTCAGCTGGTGGCAGTAGCAGCGAATCTCAACCTCGGTAGGGTATGAATGTTTCTAGCATCGCTGCCATATAAATAAGTTGTTAGATAATGCATCAGTTCAGGCAGTGTGTAAATGTTTAATCTGATTATCGGAGAAAAACCTAACTGCGTCGCAGATGAACTCAATTCTGATTCATCAAAATAGGTTTCAACAACTTCTTTACAAACATTAAGGCCTATTTTTCAGCGACCGGGGCTTTTCCGCTTTTTAACTTTTGAGTTGGCTTTCATTAGAGTTTTTTACAATCGTTTCTTCTAAGAGTGTCGTTTCCATGGCTTGTTCCTTGAAGAATGATACATACATACATGTCTTTATACACACGCCAAAAGAATCGTGCATTTTTTGTTTTTTTCTTTTTTTTTTCTCTTTTTAGCTTCATATTTTATACTTAGTAGCTGCAGATTTCTTGAACTCTGTTTAAGCTCTCTACTATTTCTCCTTTTCTTACCTAAGTTTTGTGAATTTTAATAACCAAACGTTCATCTTCAGTCCGAGCCATTCTTTCAATTTTAAAATCTAATGTGACGGCAGCAGCTGCCTTCACCTCTACTCCAACACACCATACCACAACCAAATCATACTTATCACAATCACAACGATTGCAATGTCGACGCCATCTACAGAGTCTCCGACATGGCTATGTACCAATGGTCCCATTTTGCCGCTCCCCCGCCACCTCGTTCCGACGCTATAGTCAATCTTGATTTCCATCTCCACCGGCACCACTTCACCAACGCCGTGGTTACCATAGTGTCCACCTCAACCACCAACACAACCATCGACTTCACCACCGGCACATTTAGTCTGCCATTTTATCACCAGCTAGTTCTACTCAACCATTAGCGACCTCTCTTGTATACCATTTATTAATCAGTTTCCTCAGAATATATATTACGCGACTTGAGTGCTAAAAGCTTCGGGCCTTCGGTATACTGTGAAGTTATCAAGCAACTCCTAAATCTAACATAATTTTAGCCAAAAATCATAGCACCGCAAAACAGTGTGCAAGACATTTGGAATTTTGGAGTCATAAACAAAGTAATTTGGACTTTACCAAAAAAAAAAAAAACAAAGTAATTTGGAGTACCTGACATGGAGGAGAGAGAGAGAGTGCTTAAAGATGTTACTTTCCTTTACATTGGCCCAAACTAGTATATGTTACAGTAGCAAAAGCATGAACCATTACATCCGGCAGACAAATTAGCGTGAATACATTTGAAATCCAACTGGTCTAAGCATAAATCAATTCACACAAGAACGTGAAAGATGGTCAATGCCAAACATCAGATAGGGTAATATCCTATTAGACATATACGCACAATCAAAGGCAACATTGTTATCGATTTTTTATATTTTTGTTTTTGCCGATATCAATTATTCATTCCTTTTAGACATACAATATGACCATTCTCCGAGTGGCTTCAGATAGGAAAAGAAGACTGCCATGCTTAATGAAGGACTAGTCTATTATCAGCCGAAACCAAAAAAAACCAACATCATCTATTAAAGACAACTAAAAGTACACCAACAAGACTTGGGAAAGGTAAAAAGACAAACCTTTCAGTTATTTTCATGTTTGTATATGTTGGTAGCAGAAAATGTAATATAAAGTTTCCTTTGATTGACAAAATGAAATTACAGATAAAAGTGTACTGGCCTAACACTCTTGGAACAAGTAAATTCCAAATTCCAGGATGTCGCAGGTTCCGTATCTCAAAATTGAAATCTAGACGAAGTAGTGGATCCAAGTAGGACAGTTTTCGCTACCCACCCCGTAACCCGCAGCACCTAAATGCATAAGCACACAAACACTTCGATATGGACTAGATAACCGGGATGCCCGTCACTACCACTATATACCACTTTGAAAAGAACTGATTAAGAGAAAGCTACATTTTCCCACAAAATCGATTCAATTACAGAAGCTAATTAGATGTACAATACAATAGTTTTCAGGCACGTGAAAACTAGAGTAACATCATGAGGCTGCAACCGACCGTGCACCACTCCGTCCAAGACCAAGACCCAAGCCCAATGGTACATTATCACTTTTGGTCTTACCATGGTTGTGACTGCAGTGTGATGAGTGAACATGCCCATGATGACAGTTAGAACTAGTAGAACCGACATTTAAAGCGATATGGCCATTTTCAGTGGGTTGATGAGAATGCACGTCGCCATTCTGCAGATTCGAGGTCCTTGCCATATGCATCATGCCAATACCCTCAGAATGAGGCAAATCCTCGACATACTCCACATCTTCATTATAACCATTGATCAAGAAATCGGAACAATTCTTCTTGAAACCATGATCATATGGATTTCTGAACCTACCGCCTGGACCCTTAAGATAACTATAACGCATTGCATTTGCCATCTCATTTGTCGTGATGTTGCGCGATATCTGACGAACAACAAAAGGCAACTCAGGTCTTTACATTGTGTCAGTCAGAAGCGATGCAGAAAATAAAAAGCCATGCTCTGAAATTGACACGCAGATTATATGATAGTGAGGTGCCAATCTTCCCTGAACATGAAAACAGCAGAGTTCTGGCAAAGACACAGTGGGGTTGCATTATATACTCCATTTTTGGCATAGCGACTAGCATCTATGACCTCTGTTCTCATGCATGATGAACAGAGCTTGACTCAAAATTGTATGAGAACATATGGGACAGAGCAAGATACTAGATCAGTGCAAATACTTTAATCTGGGCAACCAAAAAAAAAACCTTGACTATGGAACGTGCAGGAACACACTAATGATATTGGCATAATAATTGTGATGCCAATGCATACATAATTGTCAACTTGCAAGGAAACAGCTACCAGGGGCATGTGGCTTGCACGTGGATATTAGAATAGGAAGAATTAGTGTCAACTTTCAATTCTATTTCGTTTTCTTTCTATAACTTTCACTATAGAATGTCAAACTTGCCAATGCAATATGCTTCTGTGCATGAAAGAAACAATGGACATGAGAAACTCAAGTGATGACACCTCTAATATCAAATGTAGAACAGCAACAAATGTAATTAAAGAGTTGATTAATGGTCCATAGCTTAGATCCGAAAATACCTGAGACGCTTGCAGAGCAGCCAGCACTGCAACCCCAAAGAAGAGAGAAAAATCTGCTAAGAAGAATGATAAAGCGCCAATATGTTGGGTGCCAGCATGACTCAACCAGGCCCCAAAGGAAGATGGAGCCAACGGATCTGTCGAAACTCCTGCATACAAAAATTTTGGACTCTTGATAAAGTTTTCTCCAAAGGAAGAAATACATCAAAAGTAAAAGTAGTAGACTGACTTATGAGAGCAACTGCACCCGTAATCAGCATAGCTGCGACCTCCAGAACAAGAAACACAAAGAAGTCCCATTTGTTTTTCTGTATCAGGATAAGTTAGATAATAAGTCAACCACTTAACAGCATATGCTATGTTGATCATGGCGTATGACATTTTCTTAATTACATAAAAGATGAGGAATAATCCTGTATAGCAAAGTTGAATCCATGCAGGCTACCTTGCCAATACAGTTGGATACCCATGGACAATGATGGTCAAACTGTTCGACACAGCGATCGCAAGTAGAACAATGTTTTGCACGAAGAGGCCTGACAATCTGTGTGATGAGATGGATGCGTAAGAGATTAAAAAACAATCAAATTGAACCAGCAATAGGCCACAAACTCAGCAACTAACATCACCTTGCAAGTTGCACAGAGTTGCGACCAGTTCCCAGCTAGCAAAGCAGGATTATTTATCTCAATCTTCAAAAGGGGTTCCTGGATGATGATTAAGAAAGCATAAGTTCATATGTAAGTAATCCTGCTCATTTCACTTCCGTAAGAAAGAGATAATGGCTAAATAACAACCATAAATAGGTACAATAATGCTAACAACTCGTTCATATAAACAGCATTAATTGACCACATTGGTATAGGTTATGCAATCCAATCACGGAACAGAAGCAGAAGGAAATGGAAGAAATTTCATGGCAAAGGGCATGCATGGGGAGAAATTTGAGCTCACGTCATCTTTCATATTTTGTGGATCATGCACATTCATCCTGATGTAGCCTGGATCCTTTCTGCAAGGAAGAGGAAAGAAGGGTAAAAAAGAGCAATGTAAATCAAAACATAATAACCACGTGCTATGAAAGCAACTACAAGTAACTGAAAATTTGTTTTAACCGGAAATGAGACGAAGGTATCTACACGGATGTTCAAGCATCAACACAGGCAAATGAATCGAAAACAACGTGCATAAAGGAACTTCATCATAGGACGGTTGGCACTCAAGCAAAACCTTCACAATGATGCTTAATAATTGCATAAGAAGCTAATCATATACAAGTGAACCGTCAAACAGCCAAAAGAAGCTCAACTAATATGCCAAGTTCTTGAAGAGAGAGAAAGAAAAAAAAAAAAAAGCATGAAGCACTGAAGTGATTAAATCAAGGCAAAATTGTTGCATTCTAAAACAATGGCAGCTAATCTTTCTAATTTCCCAGCAACATTGACTGCAAGAAATATGTGAAGAGAAGTGTTCTACATATATAAAATACTGACTGAAAATTTGACTAAGTAGGTTAACTATTTGTCGTGTATATGGCACCGAAGCAGGATAATGAGCAAAGCACCCAACCATTCTCTCAACAAAATTAGATGACAAAATAACCACACATTGAAGTAAGATGCACAAATCAAATAGATGAAGAGAGACTGACCAAAAAAACAAATAGATGAAGAGAGAACGTGATGATCCTGTAACCATGCATTGATGTAGGATGCACAAATCAAGAGAGAATGTGATGATCAGGTATCACATAAAAGCAAATGGTGATCAGGAAAGATTACAGTAGAAATTTAAAAAAAAAAAATCAACCTACTTGCTACAAGGAAAATAAAAACTATTAAACCGAAGAGAGAATGAGATGATCATGCATCAAAAAAATGGAATTGGAGATCCAGAAAATTTACAGTAGAAATTTTGAAAAGTACCAAACTACTTGCTACAAGGAACATTAAAAACTAAGTTAACCGACAGTCGTCCCCAACATTATATGGCACGACCATCAAGTTTTTTATATGAGGTGAAAATACTATTGCCATTTCAACTCTATGTTTTCATTATTTTCTTTGGTATAGAGACTCTGTTTCCATTATTTGGCAATATCTACTAAAAGACAACTGGCACCTTAGAAAAATATTGCGCCAATGGCTATTTCCAAATCTACAAATGGCACTACAAGAAATTTGTTGTCGAAACTTGATACTCAAGGCACAAGATATGTGTTAGCATAACTCCAGAAGTACCAACAACAGCCTCGTGTTTAATTTAAGTTTAGAAAGCCTAGATCCTTACCTGCTACACCTGTAAAACAGTACAAGCCCTGCGCTAGCTAGAAAAACTCCTGACCAAGCGAGAAGGCCAAAACCAGCTGTTAACTTTGGCAGTTTTCGTGCTGCAGCCAAATCCAAAAGGAAAATGTGTGATTAGGATAAAAATATAATCAAAAGGAATGTCAACATCAAAGATTTGAGTGTCGCGGATATACTTGTGATGACTGAATTTATATAGACAAGCAGCAGCAGAATGATCATAAACCATAAAGCAGGGGCCAGCCCTAACTTGGAGAGCTTTCCTAAGCGGCTATTCCCATCACAGCCCTTATCAAGCAACCTTCTAGCATTACCCTGCAGCACCAGATTTATCATTAATATTGAAAAATTCTAAGTAGAACAACCCTCAGTACCCTCGCACTCTAATATGCAATTGCTATTTAAAAGACAAAGTACAAACTTCTTCAGATGAGACATGAAAAAGAAACCAAATATTGTAAATACCTAAGATAACAAAAAACAACCACTTAAGGTTGCAAGTATTCCAACAAAAAAAAAAAGGATGCAAGTACAACTGGTCGCAGAACGCAATCATATTCAGATACAAATGCAACAATCTCTAAAAGACTGGAAACTATAAAAGCTACGTTCTGGTAATAAACAAGAGACAATTGGATTTGTCAAGAAGAATCAAGTATCACCAGTATTTTCTCTTTTCTATAGCTCAACAAGATTATTCAGTCAGAGTCATTACCACACAAAATTTTGCCATGATAGAGTAAGATAAAAAAGATAGGCACAAAAGATTTGTTTGTACATGGCAAGAAATTTTATGCGCTACTCAACAGGGCAAATTTATATGGGATGAAATTTCCTTTGACATGACAAGCCCTAAAGTTGCTTGACAAGAGAGACTAGAACTATAAAACATAGTAACAAGTACAACATACTAGTTATTGAACACCTACAAGGAAAAAGGCAACTTGTCTGTGATTTTTTTCAGATGCAAGCTGCGCAGGCGTAAGGCCAGTGTTCTCAGTCACCATCAAGTCCTCCTTCTTACCAGCCTGCACCAAGACTGTGCATGCCTCTAAATTACCCCTAATAGCGGCCCAGTGCAGAGGAGTGCAGCCTGAAGTCATAGGCATATATGATCATAATATAGCACTCCAATATAATATACGAAACAAAGCATAGATCCTTCACAATATCCAAGAGACAAGAATTGTAAATTACCTTCTTTATCTTGCCGCCCCCGATAAGCGTCCAAAAATAAGAGTAGACGTATACAATCAGCAAAACCTTTGTAAGCAGCCCTACATTTCTCCAAGAAGACAATTGAAGCATCCATCAATTATCAATCGACTGTCACCAAAAGCAAAGTTAAAAGTTTTAAAAATCAACAGGATATTTAAAGTTCTCTCCAGAAACAACCCGTTCTGAAACCTATCTCTGTCCAATGTATCCACATTAATTAAAACAATATCACTTTAGCTTCAACGTATTGATATAAATGGTTCAACCCTTATAAATCCCTAAAGCATAGCCACCCTCTTTTTTATCTTTTGGGCTAGGGATAGCCACCCTCATTGACATAACATAGAATATCCTTGAAGTTTAATGACGATCTACAATCACTAGACTCCCCGATGTATTTCCCATTCCTTCTCAAGCTTATCGTGCATACAACATCTTTACCGAAATTCCCATGTTTACGCAAAATGCGTACGCCTAGAAGTAATTGCCTATTAGTATCCACTGATACCCATTCACTACTTCAAAACTCACTACTCTTCCAATGCTAATTCCACATCAATCAAATTTTAAAAAGTCCCCACTTTGACCAACCACTGAAAGATCTGAAGTTTCAACTTCACCTGTAAGTCAAAAATATAATACCCCCACTGATATTTTACAAATTAAAAGTTTGTTCTCCATTAAGAACATCTTGTAGGCCATATACATAACTATGTAAACTTGTGTAAAAGAGATTCCTGCATACCAGTGTAAGGGGCTTCTTCCATCATTATCCGGAACATCTGGATCGGCATTCCACTTTGAAACAATGTGATAAAGGAAAGAAGTCTGACCATACTGAGCAGCAACATGTGTCGTCTGTAGATCAAGCCCAAAGTTCCATTAAAACGAAGTTTTGACTGTGATGTAAACAGATCAAAGAATCTAGAGCCACCATATCATGCATGGTTTCATCCACAGACAAGCATTTAAAGCACTAAAATATAAAGTGTGCGCATGCATCGTCCAACTTCACTATCATGTAACTTACAATGACATTGATGTTATGAGAACTTACACATGCGAAGTAAGTGTGCTTTATCAACATAAGTTAGTAAAACCAACTGACACTAATCAAAACAAATTTATTTCAATTAATCTAAACTTTGGATCCAGCCCTGCAAAAGCATATTCTGATCGCACTATCCTTCATTAGGTCTATGCGCTATGCAGTATATATCTTTCAGATCAATCAACTAGCAACATTAGTAAATCGGTGTTATGTTCCTATTCACAGAGAAAGGAATGGAGATACTGCACCTCATCAAATTAATGATATGTCCAATATAATGACCGCATATAACATCATTCATAACCAAATATTATTCACTCGAATTGAGTTACCTGATACACCCGATACAATTAAATTCAGTTGGAAGCGTTTGTTTGAGTCATTCAAAGTGCAATGTAAAAATAAATTACTTTCAGTTGCTTTTGTTTTAATATTTCAAATAAAGTGCAACATTGGCTACTTTCAACAGTGTAAAGTAAGAGTATAACGCATCAAGTTCCTTTTGTAATTCCAAAAGCCTAAATTAGTTACAGGATGTACTAAATTTATTCCAGAAAAAGTAACATCACAAGGCTTATTTTGATATCTCTGAATGTATGTATATTTCAGGGTCTATGAACTGCAGCATTGCCAATTTGAAACAGAAGAATACACAGAAATGAAACAATCTAACAGTATTAGTGGTCCTAAGGGGTATGAGGATCTCAATAACTTTATCATAAAAGTTGACAATTTCAGATAACTTTAGAATCCTTAAATTAATTCGGTCAATGTTCAATTATCAAACTATACTCTATGAAGGAAAAACAGAAATAAATTGACTTTATGGCTCCTTACCTTTTGCAAAGACACTTTCAAACTCTTACAATGACCTCATGATATAAGATAAGAAAAGCTGGCCGACATGACTGCCCTCATAGGTTTCATTCCGGCACGTTCATTATCTCAATATCTTATCTGTTGTATTACTACTGTTGGCACACAGATTACAACTTACAGGGACGATATACAGTTGAAACTTTGTACTAAACATCATACTAAGGTAGCTCTATATAGTAGTCAATGTATAATAGCTAAATTATTGCCTTAGTATGAACCATCAAAGAAATTTTGAAATGTCATCTGTTCTGTCAATGAGTACATAAAAGAAGATATAGAATGCAATAATTGAATAATCCAAGATCCTCTCCCAGGAAGGGAAAAAATTCCAAATTCATGAGATGGTGTCTTATCAATGACCATATTACCATTCTGAGAATCAGTACAAATTATCTCATTTCTCATTCTTATTACTTGCTCTGTTTTTATCTTTTTTTGGCCGTACATTCATTTTACTGGCTTACTTATTAATCATTAGCTGGACATAAAGGACTGCATATCTTCTTGTTAGGTTTCATCGAAAGCTCACACATATGCAATTTCACTTCATGGTCAAATTCTGGTTCAAATAGTGATGACTACTTACGACTTCTGCTCATTTTTTCTACCGATGACTTCTGCTTGACTGAGATATCTTTCACCAGGTTAACAGGAGAATGGAGGCTTAGCGAGGTTCAAACTTAGGTGTGCAAAATAGGAATGGCTGGACAAACTGTCTCTGTCCACATTGTAATACTCATGTTTGAGATAGTCATCGAGTGTTTTATAAAGACGTGAACACTCCTAAGATGTTTCCCAGAAGCTGGTAGTCAATCCCGTAAAGATGGGACATCAGGAAAAAGAGAAAAGAAAACAAGGCCTTCAAATGATCACACTCATTGGTTCAAGATGTCTCATAAACGAATAGGAATCACATCATATCAAATTCTAGGTTGTCAAAGCACAGGAATGAGATTGGTCAATGTTTTAACCATAAATCAGGATATTCCCACTGGAGGAAGTAAGGAAGTTAAATTATTATCACTTTGCCTAGCAACTTGTGGCAATTTATAAGTACCTATGTTAAGGGGAAATATTGCAACAACGATTGAAGACTTATAAAAGGCGTGCCAAATGAAGATTTGCAGTTTATTCTCTCCGATTAATCAGGAATCTTCTTAAGTGATTGGACTTAGGATTCTAATAAGTTTCCTTTTCCTATTTGGAATTGGATTCAGCAGTTTCCTACTTTTATTAGGATATATTAGGTTCGCTATTTTGACTCGGAGTAGTACTTTAGAGTGTCTATAAATGTTATTGTAATTATTTCTTTTGAATAGAGTTGATGATAATTTGATTTGGTAATTCTTTGTTTTGGGATCGTGTGATGCAATTCTAATCTTAGGTGTAATGCTTTCGATCTATTCTATGCTGTGGGACTTGTCGTCCCCCATCACTATGACACTCCAAAAACAAATATTTCTATGCATACTTGTTAAAGGCCAGAATAAGAAGCTCAATTGTCTGGTGAAAGTTATCAACCACCACACACTACTTCTGCCAGATGAACAACTTATGAAGCACTAGACCGAAGAAGCAACAATTTCTAACCTGGTACCCATACAAATCAGCAGTGTTTACTCGACCACCCTCTCGAAGTAGAAGCTCGGCCACCTGGATTGCACCTCGAACTGCACTCCAGTGCAATGCCGTCTGCCCAGAATGATCGGCAGCATGTATGTCTCCTCCGTGCTGGTGCAACCGCGAGGAACTTATTAGTTCGAAATCACCTAACGAAGACCCAATCCAACACTCAAAGCAACAGAAAATATGGCACTACATTCTATCAAATCCAACATATAAATGAGCCAGCCTATGCTAAAAGTATAGCCTATTCTAACAAGGCGAAAATTTGGAAATAAGCCAAAGAAAATGAAAGCAACTCCAGCTGGGGGGAATTCATTCACCTAGAGGAAAAAAAAAAAAAAAAAGAATAGAAGTTCCACCACCGGTAGCACTACAAAAAGACCCATGGTTACTCGATAATTTGCCTACCAAGTCAGTCACATCCTCAGCAAGCTAGTTGATAATAGATGATCAAGGTCCGAAGTTTGTTATCTGCCGGATGAACAAACACGATCTAAAAGATCCCATTGAAGAATTAAGATCAACAAATGCTAATTACCAATCAAAAGAAACCCAAATCACCACCACACGTATCTCCATTGCCAAGCTTACTTTGAAACAGACATCCATCGAAGAACCCAAGAACGTTCCCATTCAGCACACGAATCGCACGTCACGCAACAATCATCGACTACAATACCCCCACACACCCCCACACCACATAACAAGCAAGACCCATCTCGAAAAGGCCAAAAAGGGGACCCCCAAAAAAAAAAACCAAGAAGAAGAAGGAGAAGGAGAAGAAGAGGGAGAGACCTCGATGATGTACTGAGCAACAGCAGTCCTGTTGTTGAGCGCAGCCCACTGCAACGCGTAATACCCCAGCCCGTCGGGCTTCGACACGGAGCAACCCTCTCTCTCCACCAGCCTCCGCAGCTTCTCCATGTCCCCGTACGCCGCCGCCGTGTACACGTCGTCCCTCAGGCTGTCGTCGTCCGCCGCGGCGGCGGCCCCGGCGGCGGCGGCGGCGCCGGCGCCGGAGGAGGAGGAGGAGGAGGGGGGGCCCCGATCGGCGGATTGCGGGGCGACCTCCTCCTCCTCGACGACCTCGATCTCCGACGACATTGCCGATGAATCCCCGCGGATTGTCTCCTCCTTCTATCGAGGACGAGGAAGAGAGAGAGAGAGAGAGAGAGAGAGAGGAGGAGGAGGAAGGATGGATAGGGTGGATTAGAGAGGATGGTTTGATCGAGGGTTGACTTGGTCCTGATCGCGCGGAATTGCGCGATTCGTCGAGAAGGTGTTTTTCTCTTGGAAAAGAAAGAGAGAGAGAAGAGAAATTTTGGAGGTTTTTGGAATACTTTTTGGGGGAGGTGGCCGTCGCCGTCGCCGGCCCGTGTTTGACCCGGCGGTGGGGCCGTTGGTGGTGGTGGTGGTGGTGGTGGTGGTGGTGGTGACGTGACAACTTCGGGAGAGAGAGAGAGAGAGGGAGGGAGGTGAAGCCAAATGGACGTTCGAGCTTTTTTGGCTGTTTTATGTTTTGCCTATGGATTTCCGCAAAATGCATTTGTCCAAAGAGAGAGATTTTTCTTCTTCTTCTTCTTCACCTTCTTTTTTTTTTTTTGTTATCATTTGGAGCATGTCGTGGGAAATTAGGAAAAATACCTTTGTGATTAGGGGCATCGTGTATCGGGCGAATTTGGCAATTTATTGAGGTTAATTTTTATAAAAAAAATATATATATAATTAGAGGGATCCGTGATATGTGTTCTTCATTTTACTTGCCGCGTATCAATCAAATCATGTCGTGAGTATGCGAGACGTACAATTTGCAATTTCCTCGAACTAAAAGGACCTACGAACCCTCGTTTACATACCAATCCTAACTTCATCCCCCCCTTCTCTCTCTCCCCTTCCTCAACAAAAGTCTCTCTCCTTCCATTGCCCTCCGCTCCTGCCGTCGGTCATTACTGCTGATGCACCTCACCGTTACAGACCTTGGAACTTGACTAGTTGCGGCCAAGCGAGGTCAACCCAGTCCGATTCCAAGGTCTACCCTAGACCGGTACTCATCCATAATCGTTATCATACTTGCAACTAAGCAGAGCTCACACAACTATACTAACTTTTGAGTTTGCGACCACACAAGCTTAGTATGTTCTTGTGGCGGTGCGAACTTTGGCAGAGCTCACCAAGGTCCAAATTCATTTGGGTTGGAAATAAGACCCCGATTGACCTTTAATCCGAGGTCGACAATAATCGCAACAACCTCATAGAGAGAGAGAGAGAATCCAACCAGGCAATTTGAAATGGAAAGAAGATGACAATTTCATAAAATGGTACACTCGGGATGTAAGTTGATATGCATGCTAAATGCAGGGATTAGAGTATCCCATCAAAAAATTTAAACTGATAGATAAAGAGTAATTATATGTATATAAAGAGAACATAAACTCTATAGTCGAGTGATATGAGATATTTCAACACCCTTCTCATATGTAAATCGAATTAGAAATGACACGTGAAATTTGACAAATGAAGTGGACAATATGCAAAATAAACTGGGATAGATACTAACTCTGCCATTTTAGAATGTTCATCCCATAATTTCTTTAAATTTTTTAACGGAGAACAAGGAGCTACGACCGAATTGCAAAGTCACCATTATCCCTCAATCGGGTGATTGGACTTTTTAATGATTATGACTTATTGACAAAGACTAGCTGGTGCGTTTTTCCTCTTCATCTTCCTCTTTGCCCAGAAGAAGTTTTGTAGTTGGTGGTGCTCTCAAAGACTTCATTAGTATTTTCGGTATAGTGGGACTCGTCCATCTTACGGTGTTGGAAAAATACCAAAAAGTACCTCCAGTCTCACTCAAGGATTGACTAACATATGTCCAATTATGAAAATACCACTTTCATACTTAAAAAAAAAAAGAAAATTGCCTCCCCTTGCAGTTGCATATTCCCAGGCCATTACACTTCCCAACAAATCCTATCGTCCATCATCCACACCTCTCACCTCTCCTCCACCACCCACTACTGTCAAACCTCCATCCTGATTGTGACCATCGCTTTCGTCGACCCTTCTCCTTGCCGTCGCCATCGATCTCACTCCCCGCGTCGTTCCATGCTCAGCTGGCTCTCTCTCTCTCTCTCGATCGACTGGATACTATGCAGCAGTGGTGGTGGCTGGCAACCTCAATTGAAATCTCTCTCGAGGTGTCGCCGGACTTGCCGTAGGTCATGACCTCGAAAATGGTAGAAGATGGTCTCCAAAAGCAAAATTCATATATGAAATGGATATTTTCAAAAGTAGAGACGGAAAGCTGGTACTATGGGTTATGTCTTTTTAATTTCCCTATGAATTATTATGAAAATATGGTAGCTACGGTGACATTTTTCACAAGTTTCTTTTCATGATGGGTAGGGGTGAGTATGATCTGGGTTAAGCTGGTCCAACACCTAATTCAAAAATCAACCCGCATAGTATTGGTCCTCAATTTTTGGGACCGAGGACCGACCCTATTGAGGCTGGGACCGAGGACCGGACTGACCCTATGGGTACAGTCCAGTTCCAAGGTCAATTCGAGACCAATCGATAATTTTTTTGTTTCATTTTTTGTATTCCTTGAAAAGACAAACATACTCTTTCAAATTACATGTCCGTCAATCATGCGACATTGAGCAACCAAACTATGAACACAAGTACATAATATAAGACAAGGTAACAACATAAAATTCACACTTGCTAAAAGAAACAAACCAAGAAAACAAACACGTGAAATACAATTAAACTATAAGAAGTTCAAATACGTAATATAAACTATCAATTATACAACTTTATATCTTGTTCATTCTTAAATGATCGCTTCAACTTTCGAACACCTAAAAACAAAATAAACAACACACATAATTAATACTAATCAAAGTATGTTTGTGCAGCTGAGTTGCGCTCGTGAGGTGTGCAAGATGAGCGACGAGGCAAGTGAATAGAGGTGAGCGGTAAGGCGAGTGAGGCAAGCAAAGAGAGGCGAACAGCAAGGTGAGCGAATGTAGGCAAGCTACGCGAGGCGAGAGGCCGAGGCAAGCGAGCGAGGCAAAGATGAGCGAAAAGGGTTTTTATTTATTTTTTTGATCGAAGTAGGGCCGGGTTTCTTTATACTTTCTATTTACACGGCAACCTGAACTGCATAAGAAAGAAGAGAACAGAGGAGAAAGCGTTAGGGTTTAGAGTAGACAAAAGCATATAATATATAATATATATAATTATATATTATATATAGGGTTGGTACGGGTTGGACCAACCCTTAACTCCCATGACCGAGGACCAACTCGCTTGGTGCAGGGCCCAGGGATTCCACGACCAATGACCGCCCAAACCCCTTGGGGACCGGATCAGGACCGGCCGAGTTGGGCTGGTCTAGGGTCGGTCCAGGGTTGACCCTGGACCGATGCTCACCCCTAATGATGGGTCAGTTTTGCTAAATTCGACATTTATTGTTTATGTTGGCTCGGAGCTTATAGTTTAAATGTTAATACTTGTATCTTTTTAAGGGAAAAAAAAAGCAAGAAAAGAAAATTCTCAACCAGTTCAACTCGGAAAATAGTGTTGGTTTGAAATTTGAATGGAGCTTGGTAGGGTGTAAACTCTCCAAAAGAATTGCAAATAATTTTCATTATTTCAATAGTATGATATTTAATTTATTCACTTGTAAAACTTCAATTTTTTCATCTAGGGTTAAAATATTAATAGAATACTAGGTGCAATGGGCCATTTTTGGCTACACAATGTGAAGCATGAAAGCCCAGCCCGCTCGAATATAAAAATAATAAAGCTCATAAATCAATCCCGGTCTATATTTCTTTTTTGGGTCGATAATCCAGGTCTATTTGGGTTAAGGATTTTTTTGCCGATTCGAGTTGGGACGGGTTTTCAGGCTTTCGGACTCTTGTATTCACCCCTAGAGTCTAGGTAAATCCTAGAATTGAGCAGGTCCTAGGCCTTTTAGATCTCAAAATCGAGAACTAAATGGGTTCTCATTTCATTGAGGTGGGCACGAAACAAACCAAAGAGGCACATTCTAAAGATAAATGGGACCCAATGCTCACCTCTAGTATATATGGACGAAGGTTCGACATGGAACCCTACTTTTTTTTCGGCCAGTGATCCTGTAAATAAGCTCACAAGCATAAGGCATATAGGATAAGCTCACCAGGTATAAGGAATATAACTGGTGTTAAGGATTTATAACGCGTTTTGAAAAGTTCAGGGAAAAGCCTTAGATAATCCATGAAATTGATTTGGGTGTTAAAACGACTCGTTCATGCGTTTAAATTAGGCACACCATATGGAGATGATTCACACGCTACCAAGTCCAACCAATTTTGTATATGGGCCACGCATTCGGGTTTAACTCGAAGTTTTATCTTGTCCATATGGTTTGTACAACATTGCCGGACCAAGTGCACACAATTCTATTTTCCGGGTCATGCGTTCGGGTCTAGATCACGTATCACCTAGTTCGCAAGATTAGTAGGGTATTTCATTAGCAAGGAATTTACCTAACCTAAGGTGAGCTTAGAAGATACCAACACACACACATATAAAGAATAGGTCATTGACGACCTACATCAACCGCGAAAGTTACTAAATAAAACATGCCCTCCGGAGGAGGAAACTTGGAAGAGAAGAGAGTGCCTAGTTAGCAGTCATTACTATAATGTGAATGCTTTTCTAATCTTCTGGAGTCTTTTAGTTCAGCAAAGTAAAATGTGGGGTTTTGCTTGTTTGGTCTCTTCTCAGTTCTAGCTTTCTCTAAAGAGTATAGTGACGTGATTCCCAATCCAACAGGACAAATTAGCCCTTCATTCCAGTCCTAGGTCTTTTTCTCCCCCTTGATCTGTACCTAATGTCTCCGAGCTGAAAGAAGTGATTGGTGATTACCTCTGTCATCCGGTGCATCAGATGTGAATAGATCGTAACCCCACCGATTAGTTTCGTGAGTTTGGTTTGTATGCAAGGCTGCCTAAGGGTTTTCTGTGTTGTGCCGGGCACGTTCTCCCTCTCCCTCTCTCTTCCTCCAGCGATGTTAGGTGGATAGCAAGTCGCGCACGACCATGGACATTGTACTGTGCTTACTGTTACGAAATGTAGATGACCCAAGAGAAAGGGCAACTGTTACTAACATTACAAACTGTAAACAACGTAAATATCTCTAATGTTAGGTCTCATGTTTGCGAAACTTTGTCATAAGTCGAGGAGAGCTCCAAAGGAAATAGCAAGTGTGCTAACATGTAGCTCAACTTTCTCCCAGAAGTCTCCCTCCCTCCCTCCTTATAAATAGCTGGACTTGGTTCATGTTCATCTCCCATAACTCGCACACCCTCATAGCCATCGTTGCTCACACCCTCGGTCGAAAATGGCATCGAGAACCATCGCGACGCTCTTGATCGCGGCGTTCGTCGTGAGCTTCGCTCCTGCTGTGACGGCTCAACTGCTTCAGAACATCGGACAATGCTGGTCATCGATCAGGAGGGTGCAAGGATGCACCGTGGAGATCGCCAATGCCCTCCTCAATCCCGGAGGTAGCACTATCGGGCCTTCTTGCTGCGAAACCATTGATGAACTGAGCGCAAGATGCTTGGTTCTGGTGTTCCCCGGTCTCAACACTCGATCAATAATCAAGAGCGTTTGCGCCCGCGGAGGAGGACCTTCGCCGCCTCCTGGTAGGGAAGTCGTTCTTAATACAAAAAACTACGTCTTTCAACTTTAAGTATTCATATACACAAGCTAAAAAAGAAACTTAACCATAGAATTTAATGTATTATTTATGTCAAGACTACCGTGATTCAAGTTTTTACACGGTGATGGTATGATTTTTACAAAAAAGATAGTTATAAGACCACGATTTAGTTGGAATATTACGTTGTGATAATTATAGAAGAAGTCGCTCAATTACCTTCTTAGTGCAAAAAAGAATTATCTAAATCTCGGATACAAAATATAGGCAATTATCATGAGTTATTTGCCGATTGAATTGTTCCCTAATATATTAGTGCTTGATCAAATAAAAGATGTAAGAAACTATAGGGAAAAATGAAACTAATAGTTCATAAACTTTATCCCGATATGCAATGTCATTTTTAGATTTTTGATTTATTCGATATATAGTTCTCGAACTGTTCTTAAATGTTCAATTTAGTTCCCAAACTATCCCTTTGCTCAATCTAGTCCCTCAATTATTCCTAAAATATTCAATGTCATCATTCGGTACTTTTCACAATTTTTCATAATTACACTATTGCCCAAATTTTGAAAAATATCTTCGTTTCAATCAATTATCTAAATTGACAAAAAAATATGCGATTTTTTATTACTTTTTTTTTACCTTTTTGATCTTTCTGCATATTACAATAGTCTTAGTTAAGTATAGTGTTTTTTTTTTTTTGGTAAAGTTAGTTAAGTATAGTGTTTGTAGAATAGTAAAAGTAGAACTTCATTTAGAGTATTATGGGTTGATATTCCTGCCATTTTAATTACCTAATTTATACATTTAATTGAATAAGCCACGAAACACAAAAAATTTACGATTTCATCTATTTAAAATATTAGGAACAAAATATAGATCCATATATGTATAATTATCTAGAGATAAATCAATGTCATCTATAGAGATCCTTATGAAACCACTTACCGTAGATGGATATGTGATTGTCATGAGCTATTTGCCGATCAATTTATTCCCTAATTTATTAGTGCTTGATCAAAAAAAAGATGTAAGAAAATCTAACCAACAAATAGTTAAAAAGAAAAAAAGACTGACCAAAAAAGTAATTAAAAAGAAAAAAGAAAAATCACATATTGGAACTTGGGTAACCAAAAGAGAGAAAAGAATACAACCGTAATAAAACACCTAGTAGGTTTCATTCTTGTAAAAATTAAGTACGCTTACTAAATAAGAATACAAAATTTAAAACAACAATATAGTTGAATCATAACCTAATTTTCAGAATCACATTGCTTCATATCCAACCCACATACGACCCTCTCAATCCACCATTTCCATTTCTCCTACTTTTCATATAACTTATATGCCGTGAGAACAAAATAAATGCATTGGTTATTTGGCACGTATTATCTTAGAAAAACTCTGTATGTAATTGACTATATAAATATTGAGAGAAAATAATAAAACCTTCTAAGGAAATACTTGGTAGGAAGAGTTATAAATGTGATAGAAATTGCATGATTGTTAATTCGTAACATTGAACCGATTGAAACCCGTTATCTTTTTTTTACTTGTCGAACCAAACTCATGATATCGAATGTGTTTTGGAAGAGACAAATGTATCCTCCTAGTTGGGAGCAATAATAGTGAAGAATGCAAGAAAAGTGCTCCTAACACATAGTTCTTGCTACCTAGAGTCCTATATGTCAATTTTATAGACAACCCTTAGAGAAGAACTTGCTATATCACATATTTATATAGCTAAGTAATAATTAAATTGACACTGGCTCGACCTTTTTAAAAATTCCTTTTCATGATAGTTTAATTGCACTTGAACTTGATAATCAATGAAAAGGGACTGAGACTGACAATCGGGAGGAAGCTCTTGTTTATGCAAATCACGATAATTGAACATTTACATAGACATCTTTCACATTCTTCATGTTTATCTTTGTCGTGCTATTTCTTTTACCATCTTGGCGTATGCCTGGATTAGGAATGCCGCCGGCCCGAGGACCTGCACCTCCGTTCGGATCGACTACTGGAGAAGCTGCATCTCCGGTGAGGATCGCGCCGAGTCCAATTTGAATTGAGTCGTTACACATCATGACTCTTGCTTGCTGAATGAGGATTGAGAATAATTATGTGTCCTCATCAGTTTTCAGACAATCTAAATAAGTCAAAGAGCACATGACAACAGCAATATATGATAAGGTTTAATTGCTGTAACATGAATTATTCAACAATTGACACCCTTTGTTCCAATTGTCTATTATGTCCTTTTCATTTGGACTTGTTATATACTCTCTTGCTCACTCTCCCTAGAGGTGATTGGTTCCCGATCCGGTCCGGTCCAATGGAACTAGTCACTTAGGATTTAGTTCACATTTTACTAATTTTTGTCAATGAATTTATGTCAATAAAGTTCACTTAGAGTTTCGTTCACATTTTACTAATTTTTTTGAAGAAATAAAATAAAAATAAAAAATATATATTTAGTCGGTCCAGTTCAGTCAGTATGGTTCCCCATTGAAATCGGGAACTGAATCTCCTAGACATTGGTTCCACTTTTAGGAACCAGGAACCGGACCGATAGTCTCAATAACAGGACCAAACCGGCCAATCCGATCCAATCCGAGTGGTTCCCGGTTGGGTAGGTCCGTTTTGCACACCCCTAGCTCTCTCCCAAATTGAAAAGATTTACTTTTCCTTGATCTATGTGATTTCACATATATTTTTTTATTAACATAAATTGTTATCGATAATGAATCTATTGACTAATTATTTTAAGCGATACAAGCGATTATTTTAAAAAATATATATATATTTTTCAAATTATTCATTTTTTCGTGAAACAAATGGAGCCGGAGTTTCAATCTCTAAACCTAAAACATATAATCCATTCTCGTAAAATGCATTGATGGTAAGAGAGGTTACTCTTGTTTTTTGGTTCTTAATGTTTGGGCATTCAAGGGGACATTTTAGGATTGAAATCTCGAACGCACAAGTCGATGTAAGAGAGTATGCACTCTTAAGATCCCAAGGGAAGTGAATTTGTCGAAACGAGTGAAAGTCGGCCCTATCACAATTGGCAGTTACTCCCATAAAGAAAGGGTCGCCCATTTTCCGCTCTATCTATCTGGATTCGATCACAATATTCTTTATGGGTCTTAATATTCTTTATGGGTCTTATTTTATCGTGCTTTTGAAATATGATTTTTTTAATCACAATTCTAACCACACATAGAAGATTAAGGTCAAATGTGGGGTCCGCTCTTGATTAAGATTATTTCTTACTTTATAATGAAATGAATACCATTTGGGATTTGGGATTTATTTATTCATGAACATGGAAGGACTTTTCTTTTTCTTTTTTTATTCTTTTATTCTTTTTTCTTTGATAAAGAGAGAGGGAGTAGAATCCGACCCGCACCCGAGCACCCTCGCAATCCCTCCCGGTCGGAGCCCTCTTCCTCCCCGCGCAGCCGCCGCCGTCGACCCCGAACGAGCGACCAGCTCCGGCGACGCTCGGCGCTCCGCTCACCCTCCGCCCCGCCTCGCGGAATCCCCCGCTCCACACGTATCGTCTCCTTCCCTTTGGTTTCTCGTTTCCTGTGCTTGTTGATTCCATGGTATTCATTTGCAATAGGACTTTCGAATCTGTAGAGCAATTCTTTGTGTGCGCGTGCGTGTGCCGTTCAATGTTGGTTCTTTGCTTGGAATTCTCCGATTCGTTGGTTTTGGTCGGTGCAATTCGGTACGAATTCCTCAAAGCTCAGTTCGCAGTCCCTCGTCCTTTGTCGTCCGAGGTAACGAAGTTCATCGGATCTTGTGGGGGTAGCTGCAGGTTGAATGCTACAGTGTCAGCTGTGTTGATTACCCAAATCCGACCATCGCCGCTGAGTTCGATCCGTGCTCGCTTGTATGAACCTGGGACCTCGCGTGCTGAAAGGATTTGTCTTTTCCATCGCTACAGTAGTCCAGAATCAGTAGTTTTGTTGATTAGCATTGGACTGTGATTTGCTTGTCGCTTCGAAAGCTAAGCTTTCATGGAACAACTTAGGTGTATGTTGTGTTCCCTGATAACCCCCTCGCACGGAGATTAGTAGCTCGATGCAGGCCAATAATCTTAAAAGGGTTTAATTTTCTTGTACTAAGTAGACCAAATCTTCATACTTTTTACAAGTTCAAATTTTTCTTTCTTTCTGCATCTGTTCATTCTATACCTGTTGTGGGCATTTTCGTTTTCGTTAATTTCACTACAGAGTCTAGGGCCCTGTATGATGCAGTCAGTATCACTATAGCTCACAGTGAAAGTGTAGCTTGAAGCTCTCGTCTTCCTCCTCGCTCTCAAAATCACCGTCATTGTCGCTTGATTTGTCATATGATTGCCAATTGAAATCAAATTGGTGTTATCTCTAGCTGTTGAGATAGGGTTTATGATTTCTATTGTGATCTTTGGATTCTTTCAATTCGTTGAGTTTCCTGATGCCATACTCTTTTTATTTCTGTGAAAACAAAATATATATAATGAGGATCCTTGGTTGCGTAGACAAGGATCGAAATGATGAATTAATGTGCCACGATATCTTCAGTTCTGGTTTCTCCCTGTTTTTGAATGTTAAACCTCGCATTGTTAATCAGGTGCCATAATACGGTGAGCTGCTTGTGTTTCATGGCTTCTTTAATCTAGTTGCACCATTGTCAATCAGGTGCCATAATTCCACTGTGCAGACTAGAGTAATGCTAAATATGAGACAAGTGATAGTGCCACGACACTCGGTAAATCAATTTAGACAGATTAGTATACCTAACATCACTCACATAGGCAATAACAACTCCAGTATATAAGCATGGTGGGTCGTTTGTATGAAATGTGCCACTTTCTCCAAAAGTAGTTCAGTTCGTGGCCTATGTGATTGTTTCGCGCTCTTTTGGTTCAGCAGGAAAGCTTTGAAGTTTTTTTCCTATTTACAAGTATGTTGAGCAAGTTGGAAATGAGAATTGTCTTGTATGTGGATAAATTGATGAAAGTTTGCCCTTGTGTTGTAAATTTGTGGTAGTGTAATGTCGGGTTAAAGACTTAATCGATGAGAGGCTGATAATGTTACTTTTTGTTGTTTTTCAGCTGTCCTTGGCAAGTGTAAGATTGATACACTCTGTCTTATGTATCTTTGTTGCATCCGCACCATCGGAGCAAAAGTCAATCAGGAATCTTAAGTGACTCCAATTCGGAGCCTCTTCTGAATGTGATCAGATTCGGATTATTACGTCATGTTGCCTCCAGTCTCTTCAGCATAGACTGCAGGTTGAAACCAAATCCCAGTAAACGGAATAGTTGTTAACACTGATATTCCCGTTGTAAACTTTATGTCCCTATTTGATGTGACAAATACAATTCAAAAAACAGCATGAATTCTCAAGAAGCCGGCCCCCGTTGGAGTGTTTTTGATGGGGTCAAGAATTTCCCACCTACTGTGGAAGCTCTCATGGGAGAGGTTAACACTGCCATTGCGAGTGTTGAATATGCACGTGCGAGCGCATTTCTTGAATCCGCGTCATCTGTTGGATCAAAGAATAAGGGCTCTGATAAGAATGCAATGCCACAGTATGATGCTAAATTGGCAGATGAAGCATACAGGGCAGGACGTGCGGCCTTAGCTGCTGGCAAGCTTGATGAGGCTCTTTATTCGCTGAATATTGCACTCTCTAAATGCCCGCCTGATAAGGCTTCTGCTGTTGCTAAGCTTCAGTCTCTTATTTCACTCACTTCTCAGCAGCTCCAGAAATCTGCAGACTCAAGCTAACTCTATATTTTCGTCTGGCTAATGTCTGGATCGAGCTGATTTGTGATTCAAGTGTGCATATACAGATTATGTTGGACTTTTCGCTAAGTCCATTACCGACTGGGATCACTCTATGACATAAGCTGTCGTGTGTTGACCCAAGAAAAAAGATGAAGAGGATGGAAGGAATTACCTGATTTCGAAGAAGGATATGGGAATCAATAATGGCTGGTGGGCAGGGTCATGAGCTTTTGTTACTACGCTCGCATTGTCGCCTGAGATGTCAATTTGGTCCAGGATCTAAGAGGACGATACCATTTTTCGTCTGCTGTGGATCTGAGAACTTGAAGAGAGGAGAAGAAACTTATGCGCGGTACCCTTTGTTGAACAACCGAAGAAACTTATGCCCGGTACCTCCCTTCCTCCTTATAAATAGCTAGACTCGGCTCATCTCCATCTCCCTTAACTTGGACCACCTCATGGCTGTTCCTCCCACAAAATAGCATCGACAGCCATCACAACGCTCTTGACCGCCACATCATTGTGAGCTTCGGCTCAACAGCTTCAAGATGCCGGACAACGCCTGTCATTGATTAGGAGGGGACTTTGGGGGTAAAATTCTTACTTCTGGGCTATGCTCTTTATGAAACCACTGGAATTCGGTAGACTTTGCGATCGAGTCGTTGAACTTCGTTCTCAATGACTTGATGCACTAAACTTCCAATTTGTCGCGATTCTATATTTTAATCGATGTCTGACCAATCTTTCACCAAATTACTGACTTGGTGGATTGATGACCAACTGTTCGCATGCATAGAGTTGAAAAGAAAACAACAGCACCTACACTTCTAGATTATAGGTGGCGCTGTGCTTCATGACGGGTCCATTGCTGAGATGAAAACAGGGGAAGGAAAAACCGCAAGTAGTCTGATGGTACTCGTAGAAAAGGATGAGGTGATCTGGCATGCCTCCAGCTTGGCTGTGAACGTTTAGCTTTCAATCGCTTTCAGTGCAGCCCTGGTCGACATTTCGGGGTGGCAACTGGCCAGTGATTGCAGCCCCCGGGTTCAGGTCGATGAGAGGAAGATGAATATTATCTTCTCCGAGAGTATGGCATTTAGCTGCATGAAACTGCTCTAGCTTTTCCCGGAAATTGTACAAGTCGAGGATCTCAAACAATGTGTTTTGTGAATTTCAGTTCTAATTCGAGATCAGAAAATGTAAATCCATACATTCTTCTAATGATTCTGTTGATGTTAGACAAAGCTGACTCAAACCAGCTATGGTTTTTTACTTTCTATTCGCTTTTCATGATCAGTCCCAATCGTGTATCATTGATGAAATGGTTGCATTCTTATCATGGCCTTGATGATCCAAATTCGGCGCTTGGTCAGCTAGTTAGTTATCTTCTGCGGTACTATCAACATTGGGAAAACCTCTCTTTTCCCTCACGATCCACTTAGAATCTCCCCATGAGAA